AAAAAAAAAAAAAAAATCTATAAATTCAGTCAGGTTTCGTGTAAGCTTTCAAAAATTAACTTTCGATAATCGAATAATTTGAGGATTGAAACAAAAAAAAAAGAAGCATTTGTTTTTTGGGAAAAGCATATGAATATATTATAAATGTAGATACATTAACTTGATTCTTGTGTAAAAGTGATATGCGACCTTGTGATCGATAGAAAGACCTAATTGATTATTCGTAGAAATAATAATGACAATGGTAATTCTATTGTCCATTATATTCATTTCTAGAAATTAATAACTTCTCAATAATTAATATATTAATTGTAGTTTTTTAATTCACACATTTAAATGTAAACGACAAAGGTAACTTTTAAATCTTTAAACATTAGATATATCTTCTTAAGTAAAATAAACATCATGCATTTAATCAATACCGTACGTACAATAAACACCATTTCATCGTACAATAGGAAAATAATTGCATTGTATTACATAATAAACATTGTGATTGTGACTAATGTACAGACATGATTTGTACTTCCCTTTTATATAAATGAATCTAAACATTGTAATCATAGATTATAGCAAAATGAAAAGCACACAGATAATTAATAATCAAACATTTAGAAATCTCTCTCTCTCTCTTTCTCTCTCTTTCTCTCTTTGTTAAACATTCGAAATGAAATAATACTCAAGAAAACATGGAAAGTACAAATATGTAGCTACACGGTCCTGATTGAATATTGGTAAAAAAAAAAAAAAAATAAGAGTTGTAAAGACATAACCAAGGAGAGAATGTGTCTAGTAGAATGTGTAAAATTATATCATGATCGAATGCTCTGTCAGTCCGCACTTAAATACCCTTTTTCGTGTTATTTAAATATACATTTTAAAAGTGGCATATACTTTACTTTTTATTAAAAATGCAATGATTGTATATGGGCTGCATTTGAATCATGATCGAATGTAATGATTTACTAAGCGATGCAAAATAAATGAAAAAAAAAAAAAGATTTAAAGAGACATTATCCTTGTATAATATTTTTCCTATTTAACCATAGAAATAAGCTACGAAGACGATGAATGGAGAAGTTATGATTAGTGATGGGAATACTGGCATGATTTGGTATTTGTGGCAATGAACTTTCGAGTTCCTAATGCCAATTATTAATAATAATAATATATTTTTAATATATAAACACTTTTATTCCACATTTTTACAATCAATACGCTTATATAAATATATTTAATTAATTTCTATTCTATTTAATTCTTAAATATATTTAAATGTAGTTTCGTGTTTATAACCAGTTGCTATCTCCAATTTTACAATACACTGTAAATAACGACTTAAAAATTCTTCCGTATAACCAGTCAAAAAGTACATCTTACTTGGATGTATACTACGATCAACAATACCAGCAATTCTAATAATATTATGTTGTCTTTTAATAATAACTTCGCATACAAATAAATTGTGCCACGTTCCTGCCATGAAACGTCTAATAAAGACATCTTCCAATGCTGTTTCAGCCGGTCTGTTGCCATCTTTTATATTTGCTAGATTGCAAAGAGATATTAAGTCGTAATTATTATATCAAAATCGTGTAATTATTGGTTTACTTCATACATACAGGTATTCCAAGAATTCCACGATTTTCTATGTGCAATGTAATGAGGTGGATTAGCCATCTCATATGTTAAACGTAAAGTTCTTTTAGGTGTTGGTTTATATCGACCAGATTGAACTTTATTAACAACTGCGCTAACATGTATACAACGACGTAATGAAGGATGCTGTAGAAAAGACATCTGTAAATAATAATGTTACATTAGCATGATTGATTTGAACTTTATACAGTTAAAAGGTTTCAGACGGTGTCATTTAAAGTTTGACTCTAAATTTGAGGATTCTGTTTCAGATCAATCATTTTCAATAATTTTTCTTCATTCTTCTAAAAAATTGCATATTAAATCTTTCATATAAAGAAGTAATTAGTAATATGATTAAAAATAACCTTCATGTGCATAGAGTTATAATCGCAAAGAAAGGTTATGTTAGAGAAAACTTTGATTATGATATTAAAAATGTCAATGATTATATTACTTACATTAACTAAATTAGTTAGAAAGGCCATTTTCTTTGATCGATCGATTAAATAGTTAACTTTAATACATTATAATATAATAAAACAATGAATAAACATATCAACTAAACCAGGACAAACATCAGAAGTTATATTACGTTTGCGCATATTCCACATGCGCAGGAATCGTGCGCCGATTTGATGCGCCAATATGATTTAAATTTTAAATATAAACGAATAATAGAATTTCTAAAAATTAAACAAGACTTTAATTAAACGATAAAAGTTATTATAAATAATTTCACAATGAAATAGCAAATGTTTTAAACAATGAATTAAGCTATGCAAGAATAAATTATAAATTCCATCATTTTTAAACAATATAAGAATATTAAATGAAAGAATATTTTTAAAAAATAAAATTTCAAATAGAAGATGAAGAAGAAGAAAAGAGAAAAAGATAAAGAAAGAGTGTAAAAGAATAAGGGATATTAAAAAGAACTTTGGAAGATACTATGAAGAAGAAGAAGGAAAAAGGTAAAGGAAAAAGGTAAAGGACGAAGGATAGTGACGTGTACAGGCGAGGGGAGAGTGCAGTAAAAGGGGCGGGGCAAAAGCTTAGGTGGTAGCAGCAAGAAAGAAGAGAGGGGATATGTTAGGGGAGAGAAGTGGGGGTAGCTCGATTCGTCGGTGGCTCTTTGATCGGAGCGGGAGTGCAGTGTGCGTCCTGACGTGACAATGGAGGTAGTTACGATTGCTGTGCGGTGCTTTATTGTGATCAGCTGATCGTACGCGGGGTTACGAAAAGATAGAGTAGTAGTGTGTGCGTGTGTGTGCGTGCGTGCGTGCTTGCGTGTGTGAAAGAGAGAGAGAGAGAGAGAGAGAGAGAACGAAAGAAAGAAAGAAAGGAAGAACGAAAGGTGTCCGTGGTCAAAAGGTAGAAAGGAAGAAGAAGAAGAAGGTCAAGAGAAAAGGACGGAGAAAGTGAAAAAAAGAACGGAAAGGTGTTGGTGCGCGGTTTTATCGGGAAAAGGAAGGTGTTAAAAAGAGGAAAAGAAAACAAAAATATATTATTTCGGTTAAAAGACGATGTCGTCGTCATCGTCGTCATTATTATTACTGTCATCATCATCGTCATCATCATCATCATCGTTGTCATCGTCATTGTCAACATTGTCGTCGTGTTCGTATTCGTGAGAGAGATCGACGTGCCTTCGTAGGCGCCGTCGTTCCTAATCCCTCTTATTGTGTGTTGCTAATATATATATATTAGTAGTGGTTCCCCCTTGTATATATCCGGTGTGTATCGTGCACGAATGCGTGGAGTTCGCACGAGAGGTAGATAAATGTCTCTCAACCATGCCCGCCGTGCGGAAGTACAGAAGGGATACCAGTGAAGTGAGCTGTTGCCTCAAGTACGTCATCTTTGGATTTAACGTCATGTTTTGGGTATGTCTTTTTATTTATTTTATTTTATTTTATTTTATTTTATTCGTAAAATATCGTTTGAATTATCGAATCTTGATAACTTTTCTTGATCTTACGTACGTACTTTTTGATTGGTCAAGATTTAATTGAAATGAAATTATAAAGTTTTCTTTACGAAGTATAGTTTATGCAATATAATAACAGTGTACTTATCTATCTATATATATATAATAGTTATTTTGTAACGGTTTAATAGAGCAAAGGCTAGTATAAACTTGTTACGTTATGTTTTCTTGTTGAACCTTGTCGTTTAAAATCGCGTTACCATGGTGAAAGAGAGAGGAAGAGAAAGAATTGTCAGTCTTATACCAATCCCCACTACCAGTCATCATCAGTGCGTTCACCAGCTTTCAATGTAATATAGTAAGTAAGTACTATGCAAGAAGTATTTTCTCTATTCCTTTGTTCTTGCCCTTTCCTCTCTTTACTATATCCTAATTCTTCTAATCTTCAAAACATAATCCTTTCTTTCTTTCTTCCTAACCTTCTTCGTTTTTAGTGTAATATTCTCGAAAATCATTGAATTTTCATTCTCAAATTTCCTTCGTTTATCAAGCGTATCTAATTTACCGCCAATTTGATATTCTCGAGTTTGTATTTTGAGAAAATATCGAATTAAAATCGATTCTAGTGAGTTCAAAATATTTTTCGCGCCCTTTTAATGATTTCGTATCCGCCATATTGCATTGGCAACGCGAAAGAATAAGAAAGTAAATTTTAGTTATGTTTATCTAGATTTTCATTGACAAAATGAAAACTTAATTGCGCCCATAATTATGAAAATGAAAAAAAATGAATTTATTAATAATTTTATACTACATTAATTAATTTAAACTAAATTAAATCAATATAATTGTCAAATATAAACCGTTTGATAATGTTTGTTGATTTATTATAGTGTTTAATTTTTATATAATATATTTTACTTAATTTAATTTTATTTTAATTAATCATATTAATAGTTTAAAATTTGTTTAATTTATTATAGTATTCAAATATCATTTTTTAAATATCTTAAAACAAAAGGTGTATGACTTAGACCATTTTCATAATTATGGGCACATTTGATACATTTATCATTATATTTTATAAAAATAAAAACAAAATACAATTTATCTAAAAACAAATAGTAAAAAAAGAATAACAAATTCTCTTTTTATATATACTGTGGTACAATTGGTATTGATGAAACTTAACTTTGATTTTTCATTTGTATATAATGCAACTTACATATACACCTACTATATATGCAGAGTGATTCATTCTAAGTTGACCAATAAATCTCGAAAATGACTCAACCTAACAAAAATATACAAATATTATATTATAGTCATAAAGTTTTCTTACAACTTTTTTCTTATCAACTTTTATGATATTATCATACTTTTGGAACTATTTAGGTAGTACGAGCTAGTGAATCACACTGTATAAATGTATATTAAATGCATTGACTGATGGTTTCTGATGGTTTTGTAAAATCGCTAAAGGTCGTCGAGTGTTTCAATGAAGAAGACGAGATAGATAGACACACACACACACACACACAGATAGATAGATAGACTGATAGATAGATAGATAGGGTTAGGGAATGAAAGAGAAAGAGAAAGAGATAGAGAGAGAGAGAGAGAAATATGGTGGGAGAAAGACCGGGAACGAGCCCGCAATGCAGTTCGTATGCATCGTCAAGTGTTCCAATTGCTAGAAGCGGGGCATACGTATGTACATATATATGTATGTGTGTACATCACGGTTTATACATATATATATCTCGTAGAACGATGCGTATATATATATATATATATATATATATATATATATATATATATATATACATACAAACCGGACGCATCCCATTGTAAATACGGGGAATTAAACGAAGTTCGCGACTCGTGAACCACTACCCTATGTTGTACCATGTATGCACATGCAACGCGAGAGATACGTCGCGTCGCATCGCATTGCATTGCATTGCATTGCATTGCATCCTTTCGTTTCGTTTCGTTTCGTTTCATCCACCTTTTACGAACATATATATTCAAACCTTTTATTTTTTTTCCTTTTAGATTCCTACTCCTACTCCTACTCCTCATTCCTACCCTCTTTCAACCCTCCTCTGTTCTTTTTTTTCCTTCTTTTTGTTTTACTTCTTTGATTCTCTATCGTTCGGTACCGTTTAGCGAAAATCGATCGAACTTTAACGAGTTTCGTTTCTATTGGACCCACCACACTGGACTCTACTATCACGTTTCGTTCAAATACTTCCTAGAAAGCCACTAAACAACTTTTGTCTTGATTTTTTTCTTTCTTTTTATCTACGATCGATTAGTCATTCGAATTAATTGAGATTTTTTTTCTCTTCTTCTCCTCCTCACTGTTATTATTCACTTTCTCTCTCTCTCTTTTTCCTACTTTCCCTTTTACTTTTTTGTTGTTGTTCCATTTTTCGTTTGTTTTAATTTCAAACTATTTCAATCATTAAATAATTAAGAATAAAAGTATTGGGATTTCTAGCAGGGGTGTAACGTTGCAATTCGATTTATCTACTCTAATTTTGAATTTAGCCAACAGATAGCGTATTCAAGTGTTAAAGATCTCACGTGACGTAGCAATTCGACCTATCTATTCGTATTTTGAATTTAACCACCAGATGGCATATTCAAGTGCTAGAGATCCCAACTCTCATTAATTTCTATGATTTATTTATTCTATCGTTTTCAATTCTTTCTGTTTATTTTTTTTATCTTTTTATTCTTTTTATTCTTAATTATTATTTTATTATAATTTTATAAATATATATATATATGTATTTATATTAATCAAATAATTTTTATAAAATACTGATCAAATATGTATAACTATTTTATTTTTTACTATTCGATACTATAAATTTATTATTTATAATATAAATATTCGAATTACCGGAAAATTTTGTGCACTGACACAAACATTAGTTGAATTTTTCGTCACTAGGGGTAAGGCCCCATTTCTTAAAATGGAATATACAAATTTGCCATCATGTTTGCAAGAGTTCAAAAGTAATTCGATTAATTAATTGTTCAAATTATGAATAATTTATTATTTTATTTGGTTTTTGATTTAAAAATGGACAGAATTTTCCAGTAGACTTAATATTTTCCTCCTTTTCTACGAATTATTACGAAGTTATAGTTTCATAAAATTTTTTTTTTTTCTACAAAATAATCACGTGTGAAGATCAATTATTTTGGTGAATAATACTTTGTGAAGATTTATATGTAATGTAATGAAATACATGTATACGCACATATATAGGTACACACGATTAAGAAGTTTGGCCTTGAACAAAAGATCTCGTCGTTAGTGAAACATAATTATCATTCTCGTATAATAAGGATTGTTTAAAGTATGTATTTTCTCAGCTCGGTTATTTCATAGATCTTTATCGATCATTATAATGTAGATATTTTTATCATCAGGTGTGACGTTATACTTCGTTAAACTGAAAGAAAGATACTAGAAAAATACTAGAAAAACACTAAAATAATATTTGAACAAAAAACAAAGATCATGAATCATGACGAACCTAAAAATTGATCAGAATGATAGAACAAATAATAATAATAAAAATAATAATAATAATAATAATAATAGTAGTAGTAGTAGTAGTAGCAGTAGTAGTTGTAATAGTAGTCAATACTCTTCTTCTTATTCTTCTTCTTACTCGTCGTTACGCTTGTTCTTCCTCAATCCGGTAGAACCGGGTTTTGATCCTTGAAAAAGGACGACCGGATTCTCGTCCTTCGCGTCGCGTAGTCTGACGAGGCGAACGAACTCGTCCTCTCAACTTGCTGCCACGTATTTTCAAGATGAAAGTAGAAAATTTCTTTCCTCTTTCACGTATCCTTTCAATGTTTTATTCTCTTTTCCTCGCCACCCAACTCAAAAAAGAAAGACAAAAAAAATCATAGATCTCTGATAGATTTTTACAAAAAAAAAAAAAAAACCAAATAAAATAAATTTTTCACATTGATTTTGTTAAAAAACCATCAAACTTATTTGAATTAAACTTATTTAATATATAGTATAATTAAACATAAGTTAAACTTATTTGACAATAAACAAAATATATACATATATTTATTATTTATTATTTATTTTATTTCTAATTATATTAAAATTATTATTTTATTATTTATACAAATATGTGAAATATATAAAATATAATAATATTTATTTTTGATACAAAAATAAGAAAAATATTGTACACTTTAAACATGTACAAAGTATCACTTATGTATATAATATTATGTGGGTGATTATCTGTGTATGTTTATGTATATGTGTGGGAGGATTGACCTTGTTGGTGGTATCATACCTTTTTCTAGTCAACGAACCAACGTTTCTTTCTTTTATTTTTTTTATCGTGTAAAAACATACACCTATACAGATACAACGAATATGTATGTAACACTCACACATATACAAACGTGAATAGACACCCCCACTTGGTACGCGCTGACGCGCACGCATCCCACGTGCACTCGTGCGTTCACGAATCTCGTCTCTTCTCTTCTCTTCTCTTTCTAATTAACTTGGGAAATCACTTATTATAATAAATTAGGTATACTAATTTATTCTCACTATTATTATTTCTTTTTTTTTTTTTTTAAATAAGTTTAATAATTATGTATAAATTAATACAGAGTGATTCACCAACACTTGCCACTGGCCAAGTTGCATGAAAAATTCAGGACTAAAATGTGACATTAATATTTTTCTGATAGGTTGAGTCATTTTCAAGATTTATTGGTCAACTTTGTTTATTTAAATACAATGTTATATTTTAATACTCATTTTCGGATAGCGGCTTTCAAGACGAATCCAATGATATGCAACACTACATACGAAACTTGATAATAACTAATAAAAATAATTTGGAAAATATCTGCACCGTCTTTTGTCGAAACAATTGAAGGATGACA